ATATATGGCATCTCAAAATATGACTCCTTTACATTAAAGAATAGCAATAAACCAGATGTTTAGAGATTTTTTTTTCTAATTTCCATTTCAAAACATTATTCAGGTAAAGTGTTAACTAGACATACCTGGTAATACATTTTCAGGTATTAATTAATCTCTCATACTTTTCTGTTTGATATGACTTTATTATATTTCTATATATTAATGAACAGATGCAAAATAAAAATATTACCTTTCATTAGGAATGAAGAGAGAAACAAATATTGCCAACATATCAAATACATTTTGTAAACAATTGTTATCAACTCCTGCTTACTTTGTGTTTTATTATCCATTGGTCTGAGTGTATTTGCAATCTTGTTGTTTCAAATAAGAGGTTTGTAAGCTGAGTAAATATTTCTGAAAAATTGTGTATAATACAATCCCCACCTAGTTTGCTTTTAATTTTTCTTCAAAATTTCTCTTTTTATACAAAACAAAATACAGTAGATTACCTGGATTGACATACACCTGGTGAAAACTGGCTGGCACAATGACCAAAACATTGTGATAACCTGCACGTTTCTGAAGCTAAAAATAGGTAATAAATTGCATCCTTGAGTCTAATGACTGTAGTACTGTCATCCCTATATAATTTTTTTGAAAAGTTGTATCATATTATTCATTAAAATCTCAATGTAGTGCACTGAAACATTTAATTCTTCATAATATTTGTTGTATCATACCTATGGACAATAATGAGTATGTCCCCCTTCACATAAATACAGTAGTAAATATTGTATGTTGGTCTGCAGTTGGAGATTCATTGTGGAATTCATTTGACTAATTTCTAGCAGTTTACTACTATTCCTACGTGCCGCTGGCGAATCTTATATGTGTTGTTCTTGTCCTAAGTATTATCGTTCATTACCAACCTTCAAGTGATTATTCTATTCAGTAACCTTCCCTAAGTTACAACAATATTAAAGAATAGAAATGAACCTAATATTTCTAACCTCCATTTCAAAACTTAATTTCAAATTTTCAGGGAAAGGTGCTAACAAATAATATATTTTCAAGTGTTAATTAATCTATCATACTTTTCTGTTTGATATGAATTTATTATATTTCTATATATTAATAAACAGATGAAAATAAAAAAAATATTATCTTTCATTAACAATGAAACAAATATTATAACATATCAAATACATTTTTTAAACAATTGTTATCAACTCCTGCTTACTTTGTGTTTTATTATCTACTGTGCTCAGTGTATTTGCAATTTTGCTGTTTCAAATATGATATTTTTAAGTCAAGTAAAAATTTATGAAAACATGTATTAATATTTAATATGAACCTCTCTTTTGCTTTTAATTTTTGTTCAAAGTTTTTCATATTATGCACAAGAAAATGATAAAGTTTTGTGTATTTTTTTTTTTTTAAATTTAATTGTTTGGAGTAAATAGATTATAAAACCTAGAAATTTGAAATTTGACCAAAATTTGTCTAATGATACAGAAAGTGTCTTAAGTGGCCTATCATGAGAACATTCAATTCCAAAAAACTGCTGGATCACTGTATCCTGCTGTCAAATGTTAGTGTCTTCTTTTCTCCACTTCTAAGTGAAACATTTGTATAACCAGCAGCTAAAATAAACCATATTTTATTAAAATCTTGTTGAGGAATTCCAAGTCTTTGAACAATCTCAGATTTCTGTCAATCCTTTAAATTTATGTGATATATGGCTGGCTTGACTTCAACTGTGAGCTTGGGACATCTTCAGATCTGCTAAACTAAATACAAGGGTGGAGAAGTCTCCTGCTCAAGATGTGAGCTACAAGGGCTGCAAAACACTTCACCCATAGAACACACCAACAAAGTAATTTCCCACTATAACATATCAATGAACATTTCATTGTGTATACAATTTATGTCTAAGAAAAGAAACTTTTTGTTTTAATAAATGTTATCTTTGCATTGCAAATCAGTTGGTCAGTTATTTTGTATATGTCCTCTTTTCACCATCATTATTCTATGTGCTATAGAATGTTCCCATAATTTTAATAACATTTAATTATTGAAGTAGCTAATCACTAAACTAGCTAAAGACTTGAAAAATATTCACCAGTTACTAAAAGTAGATTATGAAGACAATATATGTAACAATTGGTTAAGAGAAGCTGTACAATATCTTTGTTGCTGGCTGTATATACATTGGTGTTTAAAGTTGAGGAACAAGTGTTTCCTGGTAACCCCACAATAAAAATGGCAGACTCAGTATGTGAGTCTGTGTAGATAAATACAAAGAAACAACTAAAACCAATATATATATATATATATATATATATATATATATATATATATATATATATAATAACAAACAATAATGTATGTATTAACAAAAGACTGGTATACATAGACAATAGGAAATTGTTGTGTGTTACAGAGCAATGAATATGAATGAAGAAAACATTTAAACTAGTGAAGGTGTTTGTGTGTGTGTATGAAGTTGTGTAGAAAGAGTCCTGAAGAATAGTAATGGAAAGTGAAGTAAAATGAAGTTGCGTGTGTGTGTACATGCGTTAGTGTGTATGCCTTGGTGTGTTTCCCCAGTAGGGAATTCATTCGCAAAATTCAGCTTACATTTTTCCATGTAAGTGAAAAAAGAGAGTGAGAGAAAATTTTACAAGCTATTTATAGTCTTAGAAAGCGCCCTCTAGTGGCATTCTTTTGTGAGGAAAGTAAGTGGGCTTAACTCCACATCATCTTAATATTGCTTAATATGCTTAAAATATTCATCATCTTAATATTGCTTAATATGCTTAAAATATTCATCATCTTAATATTGTTTAATATGCTTAAAATATTGTTATTAATATCATCATCATCATCATCATCTCCTTATTTTGCTTTTTGCTTACTACTATATCTTGTTAAGTCATTATCTGAGACTTAGGTTAAAGCCAAATAGTAAATATATGGATTCTATTTGCAAACATTCTGATGTTAAGTGATACTTAACATGTACCATGTTTATATTTCCTATATGTTGATAATACTCTCCTGAGAAGATAAACAATTCCACACAGTGCATTTTTTAAAATTCTTGTGAACAGTGGCTGAGCCCGAAATGCAATTTGAAGGTCGAGAACACTAGAAGCAAGCAGACGTTGAAGTTTAAATATCTGGGAAGTGCTTTGACAAAGAATGGTAAGTGCAACACTGAGATCCATAGACGTATTGGGATAGCCAAGGATACATTCCAAAAACTGGGCAGAGTATTGCAAGACAGGAGGATTTCTTTGGTAACAAAGAAAAGGATACTGAGCTGTTACATGACATCTGTCCTTCTTTATGGCAGTGAATGTTGGACGATTTCCTCAAGGATGAAGAAGAGACTCGAGGCAATGGAGATATGGTTCTACAGAAGGATGCTGAGGATTTCATGGACCGAGCATGTGAGCAATAATGAGGTCTTGGAGAGAGTTCAAACAAGGTGGAGACTTATGCTTAACATCAGGAAGAGGCAACTGAAGTTTCTGGGACACAGAATAAGGAAGGAGGGCCTTGAAAATCTGATACTCATGGGTTGAATAGAGGGAAAGAGAGACAAGAGAAAGCAGCACCTGACATTTCCTGGTGGGCTTGAGCAGGTGGATGACAGAACGTGATCTGGGAGAGATAGCAGAGGGAAGGAACTTGTTGAGAGCTGCAAGAGGTATAGGAAAGTGGTGATCCATGATCGCCTACATCTTGAAAGGACATGGCACATAAAAAGAAGAAAGAAACGGTGGCTTCCAGATATTTTGCTGATGTTCTTTTCTGTAACATTTTTTTATCAGTAGTTCGCAGGTGACGTTTTATTTCAAAATCTTTATATTTACTTAAGTTATATTTTTTTAATATATTTTTATCTGATGGCACAGCCATATCTATGAAAATGAGTTCATTTATTTTTTGTCATCACTAATTACACTGTCTGAGCTCTTAGCTCTGGTCTCAAACTCAAGGACACAAAAGGACCCGTATGTGCTAGGTGAGAGGTACAACGGGGCAGAAGTTGATGGAGTGCTTATCCTATGTTTGGTTCCACAGACTCACTTATCTTATTATAAAACGCAGATTGTGTGTGTTTGTGTGTGTCTGTACGTTTATATATTGGATCGGATTTCCTACATTTTTCAACCGATTTCAACAAAACTTCACAGGACTACATAAAATTACATTGTGGTGGTTCTGACAGCACCAAAAATTGGAAAAACACAATTGTTTTTGCATGAAATCAATTTGAAAACATGATAAAACACGATTCTGTCACCAGAATGAAAGGGGGACAACTCATATGGAGTTATACTTATTATAAAACCCAGGTTGTTTGTGTGTGTGTGTGTGTGTGTTCCTTTATATATGGGATTGGATTTCCTACATTTTTCAACCGATTTCAACAAAACTTCACTTTTTTTTTTGGCAGGTAGTGTTTCTTATTGTCTTGCACACTTTTTTCTTTATTTTTACATTCAGAATGCTTTAAAAATTCCATTTACAAGACAATTGTTTATAATAAAATTCTATTCAATCGATAGACTCATAACGATTGAAAACAATGTTTTTGTTTGAATTTGGGTTTGACCAATTCGTAAAAATAAACAAAAAAACAACAAAAAACACTAATTGAGACATACATGTCCGTCAACCTTAAACAATAATCTTTGTCAATTTTATTTTTAAGTCTTTATGATGGTCGATACTTGATCTATCTCTTACTGCTACATCTCCGGGCAACGCCGGGCTCTACTGCTAGTAAGACATATTTCCAACCAGAGGTCTATAGACTAACAAAGATGAATTAAATCAGTTGGTAATTTTGAGTGATAGGAATTGTGATAGATAGAGAGTGGGAGAGGCAGCTGCAGGCAGGCAAGATTTTTGCATGTATTCCAATTAAATTAAATTAAGAATTATGATTCATCAAAAAAATTCAGAAATGGAAAACTGAAATTTTCATTTTCAACAATGAACAGCCATATCATGTTGAAAAACTGGTTCTCATATGATCACCAAAGTTAAGCAACATTGAGCCTGGTCAGTACCTAGATAGGTGACTGCTTGGGAATAGCAGGTGATGTAAGCTTGGATGAGCAGGTGGTGTAATGATGATGTCAAAAGTTGCAACAATTAAATTAAATTAATTAATTAAATGCTGCAACTCTTTACATCATCATTACAATATTCATCTTATTAATACACCATTGGAAAATTCATAAACTTAAGGAATCAGCACATATGCACAAAAATCTCCTGAGCCGACCAAGCATAGAAATGAGTACAATATGGGAACCAGTAATAAGGAGTGCCAGAGAAAAGCGATAATAACAACAAAAATTGCAATATGAGCTCTGGTAAAAACATGCAATAATAACAGCAAAAAATTGCAATATGAGCACTAGTAAAAAAATGGTTGCTGAGACATTAGGTTTATAATACCCAGAAATTCATACACAGATGTCCTCAAGGACACATGACACAGTGGATAAAGGCATTAGTTAGATCCAGCCACAGGACCCAAAGTGTCCAAGTTCAATACTCACTAAGAGAACTTGGAGAGGGGAATTAACAAGAGATAACTGATAACTGACATCCATTAAAAACATGGTATGCGGAACTAGAACAGTCTACTCCAGTGAGTGAAATAAAGGGTTCAGTTCAACATTCCAACCACCTGAAGAAGGCCGGAGCATACAACGGCCGAAACATAATAAATATGGTGACAAAGATGAGGACAATAGTTCAAATAATGTAAATAGTGTACATAATACCTCATCTCAGAAATATAGACAAATACAAAATGTTGCCATTATTATTTTCTTTTTCTTTTTGTTTAATACAATCCATTACAGGGTAATTACTCAAGACCTGGTCGTAAATATATACATTTTATTTATATTCATTCTTTCTTTCTTTCTTCTCATCATCCTCCACCTCTTCTTTTGCTTTCTGATTTGCACAATCTCTTACTGGATCATTACTCCAGACCTGAGCTAAGGTGAGGTAGTAAATATATGCATTTTATTTACACAAATTCAGAAGTTGAGCATGTACAATGTTTATATAGTTTTGAATCTTTTCTATACAGTCAGTCAGTTATGTGCCATGCGTGATACACACTTAGGCGATCATGTATCTTTTGATACATAACTGATGAGGCAGATATTTTTCCCGCAGTAGGTTGACATTTTTTTTTTGCAGTAGACCAGATGCCATCCAAGACTATAGAACACATTCTGTCCTGCTATTTACCTATATTTGGAGGGTGGGAGAAGAAGAGAATTCATACCTTTCCTAAGGGTATTAATGAATGTTATGGATTCGACTGCAATTCAAACACAGCTCTCTGATTCCTTAATCTGAGCCGCTATTCATTACTCCACTGTGTCTCCCCTTTTCTAAATAGAGATTTTCTTAATGATCTTTTCTCTGCCATTTTTATCATGCCCAGTGCTCCAATTATTAAAAATATGTCAGTAGTTTTAAAATGCCACATTTATCAAATTTCAATTTCTTGTCATCTCCAAGATAGGAACTGCCCCCCACACACTTCATTCCACAACATAAAATGATGGACTCCTCAGGTTTAGTACAGTGGTTCAAACAAACAAAAGACTGGGACACATCACATTGCCATGGACCTCTTTGATTTCAAACCATTCACCTATGGGTGTATCACCTACAGACGATGAATATTGCATTAACTGTTAAGTAAAAAATATAATTTCATGAAATGAAAACATTATTATATTGGTTTAAGTTTATCATCTCAAAGTGAGTGATCAGGGGCAGGTAATTCTTCTTTTATCCTTCAGGATGATGGTAATGATGGCTCACCACAATTTCCTGCTCTTTACAGCTCTTAAAAATTTTGTCTTTTTGCTATCTCTCCTAAACCTTGTTCTACCAGCCATTTACTCAAACTCGCCAGGTAGGTTATGCATTGTTTTTCCTTGTCCCTCTTGCCCTCAATATATCCTTTGAAAAAATGAATAAGTTAAAAAAACAAGAAAAATGAATGAGATAGAAAAAATGAATAAAAGAAAAAAATGAATAAAATAGAAAAGAAATATGAGTAAGTTAGAAAAAAAAATGAATCGTTTAAAAAAATTTATTTTAAAAAAGGAATGATAGAAAAAAAAACAAGAAACAAATAAATTAAAAGTAAAATGACATCATCCTGTTTCAAAAGAAGATCTAATAAAAGTATATAATTTTTCTATAGCTATGAACTGAAATTTTTTTTGCTCAGAAAAATATAGTAAGAAATAAGCATTAAAAGCAAGTTATTCCCTATCAACAATGAACAGCCACTTCATGTTGGAAAACCAGTTCTCATATGATCACCAAAGTTAAGCAACATCAAGCCTGGTCAGTACCTAGATAGGTGACTGCTTGGGAACAGCAAGTGATGTAAGCTTGGATGAGCAGGTGGTGTCATGGATAACGGCTCAGAATTGTTAATTAGAAAGCCAAGATCCAATTCTAGTTGGCTTTGTTATATTCATTTACATGCAAATACTCTTAGGAAAGGTATGAATTCACCTCTTCTCCTCCCCCAGCTATGGGTGAAATAGTAAGACTGGTATCATTAAAATCATTATTATCTCCAAAAAAATTGCATACAAAATATTTAGATTTCACATTAAATAACCCACAGAGGTATTGATGTGTGACTAAACAAAAACAACCAACCAACTAAATCAACAATGTTATAGTCTAAATTATGATATAATGGAATATGCATACACCTGTGTTCGCCCTCACTGGAATATGATTGGCTGGTGTCCATCATAAATACCGACGGACATGTAGGAGAGTCAAAGAGCCTTAGTCTGAGAGTTAAGTCTATAACGATGCCCACTGGACTACGCCATTGATCTACACTTCTTACCTGCAACTACAATGCGTACCAGTCGATTATTGCTACCGTATTCTACTTGGTTATAGTAGCCAAAACCACTTAGCTACTTTGTTCAAATATACCCCTTTCCGGGACATATCAAATTATTATTCATATCTGCAATTCTTTACTTTATGCAAGGTTCACTGCAACTGTTTTAAAGTTACAGTGTCAATGAGATCCTCATCATTATGATTATAACAGACATCCTAACTACACAGAGACTCGAGGACCATAGCATTAGATATCTCTTGACAAGATGTGACACAAAGGATTGTTATACGAACTATCCAGCTATGGAATCACTGGAAGGGTTTTTTTTTTTTTTTTTCAATTATAAAATCCTTCCTAACAGGTAGATCCATGAAGGTAGTTATTAATGGCCAGACCTTCAGTTCTTGGACCAACCTTCTTTCTGATTTACATAAATGATCTGCCCAAGAGCATACTCAGATCATTTGTAAACATTTATGCCATTGATATATATTATATATGGGCACACCTCTAAAACTCTTAATGATCAAAGATTGGCAGCTGACCTCTCTTCTGATCTAACACTAACTTCCTGTTGAGGAAAAAATTCAATACCTCAAAAACCAAACTAATTATATTCCATCACCGCTGATCAGACCCTGAACTACTGCCAGTCACAATGAACGGTTGTCCTCTCAAGATGGCACCATACCTTGAGAGAATATTGAACCTTAAACTCACACCCAATCTCAAGTGGAACTCTTATACATGATCTATTGCTAAAGATGCAGGTAAACTGATCAGTTCCCTGTACTGCTCTAGTAAGTACCCGACTCCTCATGCTATCCTCTACCTTTATAAAATCCAGATCAAGCCAAAAACGAAGTACTGTTGCCATATTTCGGCTGGAGCTGTCCAGTCCTCACTTTCCAGTCTTGATAGAGTTCAAAAGCATCTCCAAGCACTTGATGGAGAAAAATCATTTTCCACCCTCCAACCTCTCTCTGACAGGTGGGATGTGGCGAGTCTCTCACTGCTCTATCGCTACTTCCATGGAAACTGCTCAGATGAACAACATTCCTTGGTTCCACCAGGTCTAACCTTCACGGCTGGGACCCGCCATGCCACTTACATAGTAGCAAACCACCCACATTGCCCCCATATTCCATCAGCAAGAAGTAAGTTCCACTCGAACAGCTGCTTCCCATGAACTACTGTTCTGTGGAACAGACTCCCAAGAATATGTTTCCCTGATTAGTACAATCTTAACCTGTTCAAGGCTAGTTAACTGTTATCATCCCCTCTTGTCCATATAAATTACTCCTTAACATAACCCTCTGCCTCAAGTAACCTCCAGGCCTTGTACATGTGAACCTTACTGTTAAAAAAAAAAAAAGTAATTTATAATCACAAAAAATATCATTAAATTGTTACTGTTATCAAAATCTGTTGGTCTTTAAACTTTTTTTTAATTATTCAAAAGTTATTCACTTATAATAATTCTTGTTGAGCAAAGTTGTTTTCAACAATTAATTTAAATTTAAAACAATGAACATAAATTGTTATATACTTTACTTAATGGTATCAGGCAGCTATTATTATTATTATTATATGAAAAATCATGTTCCAAAGTCATTACAATAAGTTGCTTTATTGTCAGTTTGCTTTTATTACTATTATTGTGTTGTTGCCACCCATTGTTGTAGTCAAGTACAAATTCTGTTCTTGAGACAAGATATCAACAAGACTCATCATAACTCGAGAACATTTAAGAGAATCCTCACAGAATAAAGAAAGGCAATTTCCTGAAGGTATGACATGGTCTCACTTCCAATTTTCCCTAAGTGCTTTTCAAGTTTCTTGAAACCAGAATTAGCAAACCACACTTTTTTTATTTTATTTATTTATTTATTTATTTATTTATTATTATTAATAATAATAATAATAACCTAACCTAATAACCTTAAGTCCCTGGGCGGGACCCGGAAAAAAATGTTAAATGCCAGGAATCAAAGGAAATATAATAATAGTAGTAACATTTCTTTTCCTTTCATACATTTTCTTATCCCCACCAAATATCTAATGATTCTCATTGGAGTTTCAGCAATAGCAAGTTCCAACAAATATTCAGTACCCTTGACAGTATCATCAGATGTCCAGCACTGTTATGGAATCTGGATCATTTAATTTTTTTTTCTGATTCATTCAATCCCAATTATCATCTTGTTGGCAATGTTCTAAGTGCTTTAACTTTTATTGGCACAACATTGACTTTTCTGTTTCATAATTATCTCACTTCAATGACAACATATACAATTTTCCCTTTCTTTTATTTTCAAACTGCATCAACAATCTAGCACATCTGGTTTTCCTTGTTTCAGAAAAGCAAATTGGATTTTCCCTCTTGGACGAGAGAGTACACCTGGATATCAAAGTCTCAGATCTGAGACAATAATATCTAAATTAATAACAAAAAATATTTTGTTGATATGAACACTGTAGAATTCCCTGAATAGCATAAAGATATAGCCTCATCATGCTAGGCATTGCTATTAAACATATTACAGTAATGTTTTTTTTTTTTTTTTAAGTAATAATAATGTCTCTGTCAAGGGTGTCAAGACTTTCCAATAGAGCATAGAGACATAAGCTCATCATGCTAGGCATTGCTGCTAAACATTATTACATTAATGATTTTTGTATTTTATTAAATAATATTAATGTCTCTGTCTCTTGTTTCATCTAATGAGGTCCTTGTTGTAGATACCACTGTCTCTAATAGACTCTGCCACCATAAATATGTAAAATTTTAAAAATATATATATATTTCATTATAAATGATTGACAAGGCACATCTGTTAGGTCCTTTTTTTATTGTGTTGGATTTAATATGTGTAGAAATTGTCCAAATGATTTTTCGTGCCAAATGTTTTCAGCTAATATATTCAACTATGAACACAGCCATAATGTACTGCCTGTATTTGGGAATTAAAAATATGTATACCTCCAAACAGCTTACACCCCATTTGCATAAACAGAATACTTGAAAATGGTAAATAGATTAGGTGAAAATACAAAGCATGAACCAGGGCCAGTGTATACTACCCACAAAGGCCCCAACCCCATGGTGCAAGCCTGATTGGTGGTCCAAGAATTCTTTGTGACCCTCACTATCTTATCAACATATGCTTTTTTTCTACCTACATTTAAATACTTTACAAATAAAACTAAGCAGAACTGACTATTAAAAAATGAAAAATCTTTGCTGATTTTGACATAATTCTGGGAACTTTTTCTTTTGTCCAAATCTATGAAATTGTTTTGCACATACTAGGTTTAGCGAAAATACTATATAAAGTTCATTATTCTTTTAGTAATAATGTTAATATGTTAAAATTATTCAACTTTTTAATAAGAAAAATCTCAAGTTGATGTTAAAAATTGCAGCAAAACATTGTTGCTTTATTTAAGATGCTATGATCTATTATTATAAGACTCTAATTTGTATTTAGTTACATTGTATTTGTTTTCAAGTTTTCAAGTTGAATTTTTTACCTATATTGTATATGTTCCATTATTGTGCATAATTAGGTTACAATAAAATTTGCATTTTATATGAATACCACCTTATGAAAATTTAGATGTAGTAGAGCAATGGGCCCCATATCATAGATTTGGTGGGATCCCACAAGACCCTTGCACCAACTCTGGCATTAACTTTCATTCAGACAGTTTCTTCACACACTAAGTCCCAAAGAGAAACACTTTATACACACAAAATAAAAAACCTAACACATTAACTGCCAACCATGAGATAACTCATGATTAACAGTTTTTATTATGATGACATCTACAAATCATCTCAGGTTTTGGTATTTTCACATATATTTTCATCTGCAGTTACCAACACATTTATTCACAGCAATATTTTTAGTGTGAAAACAATGTTAAAATTTCAGTTGACACCATAAATCAACTCTTAACATTTTTTATTGCTTAAGTTTTCTATTGTAAATTTGGCGTTTGAAGTCAGATTTTGTAATTGTGCTATGTCAGTCAACATGTTAAGTTATTGTCAGTCATTTTAACTGTCTTAATGTATTAGAGAGGGGTTGCTGTGCTAATACACAATTAATATATAATTGGATGCTGAAAAGTTCTCTACCTAACCAAGAAGGGAATCCCCTCCCCAAATTGTGAAGTTTTGTCAGATTTTAGAAACTGGGTCGGACTGAGAACTTTTCAGCACCAATCGTACACAATTCAATTCTATCGTAAAGACACCAAACGTTCAAACACCTGCTATGAACATGTTTCATCTAAGGGAGATAATCCTTGTATTTTGCTGGCAGAGTTACGTATCTTTGTTCGTACTATTGTTTACCAGCGCCACTCACAACTTCCGATCAGAGCGACAATATGGCGGACTCGAGCACGACGAACGGCGAATTGCAAGTGCCACATCCACATCAAACTCCTCCTCCGGCGGCTGTGGTGGACCTCGAGGCCGAAGGACGTGCACATTGGACAAACGACAGGGCTCAATGCTCAGCTACGACCACAGAAAAGAAGAAGAACAATAATAATACAGCCAGTACCTCACGGCAAGGAGAGCAACAACAACAACGGACTAGTCGTAGTAATAATAATGATAATAATAATAAAACAACAGAGGAAGAAACAGTTGGCCTGGAAGATGATGAAGATGACGAAGAAGAAGATATTTGTGCTGTGGAAGAAGAAGATCATCTGGAAGAAGAAGAGGACCATTTAGAAGACCCTGGACAGGGAGAAGACCATGAAATCGACATGCAAAGTCACCTGGAGGCGTTGCAAGTGGTGTGCACAGCAGCGACGAATTCCGCTTCGTCGGAAGGAGAAGATGGCTGTTCGTCTTCGTTTAATTTTCACATGGAGAATAAACACACCCAAAGAAAAACCGACACAGATATGCGAACGTTAAGCTCTTATTTGAAATCGTTAAATGAGAGCCGTAGTCCTGAAATGATCCCCCCAGTTGAATTGGACAACTACCTGTCCAGTTTTTTTATGGTTGTTCGAAAAGCAGACGGCAGCGAATACGAACCTAAGACCCTACGGGCCATTATGGCTAGCATTGAACGTTATCTCCGCTGTAGGAATTATCCAGTCTCAATTACTAGAGACTATATTTTTTCCAAAACAAGAGATTCGCTGAAGGAAAAGCAAAGGATCCTGAAAGAACAAGGGATTGGAAACAAACCCCGACCCCCAGCAGATCCTCTCGGTGTCCTGGTCGCCCAGAGGGTGAACCAGTTATATGCTAAACAAAACATGGGGCCTTATAATCCCTTATCGGTTGTCAGCACATTAATTTTTGTTTTCATCGTACACTTTAGACTACGTAAAGCAGTCGACCACAAGAATTTGCTCTGGGGAGATATCCAACTAAAAGTAGATAAAAATGGAAGGGAGTATTTGGTATATCGACCCCAGAGCCTTCCATCCCTGCCTCCACACATAGAGAACCACATCCGGCGCACATATAACATATACGCACAACCTGAACGACCAGAGCGAGACCCGGTGGCTATCTATCAATTGTACAACGAGAAGAGGCCTGCTTCGATGAAATATAGTAATTCACCATTTTACTTAGGTATCTTCAGCCTTAACCCTTTGCCTTTCCAAGACTGGTACCGTGCCTCGGCTATGGGCATTAACAAACTTTGTGACTTGGTCAAGCAGATACGCTCCATCACTGGTCTCCCCCGGGCAATGTATGCCCAAGACTCACCATTCCTCAGTCCGCAGTTCATCTCCAACGCACTGATGGGTCCCGACCCATCGAAAAGCGAAGTGGAAGCGGCAGCGGCCCTAGTCTCCACTAACCCTCACCATGATTTATCTGTCATGGACACTGTTGTTTATAATGTAGATTCGGACAGTGAAAGTGTTACAGAACAACAATCGAATATGTCATTTATTGGAAGTTTGGAGAATCAGTCAAGCGTGGAAGAAAATCTGCACGGAGAAGATTTGACGATGCACGACAAAGACGACGACGACGACGACGATGACAATGGATCTCATTTGGCCAGAGGTAAAATGAAATATATATATATATATATATATATATATATATATATATATATATATATATATATATATTCTTCTCCTGTTACGTTTTTCTTTGTAATAATCAATGTTTTCGACTGGTCATTCTCCATTCTTTTTCATAAGAAAGTGATCTGCTTTGGTTGGATTGTCTTACTTAAGATCAAGTATTTACATTCACCTGAGAAAGGATGAAGGATGGGCCAGATAAAACTGGAAAAAAAAATACCAAGCTGAGGCTCATAATATAAAAAATTCAAAATTTAAATTATTACAATAATTCACCTCAAAATTAAAAAAAAAAGGAAGTTATCTTTTTTTTTTATTCAGGTATTGTTTACGTTTTTTGCAAGCACACATTAATCTTATGATATAATCTTTTGTCTTTCAGATGATAACTTCAGTTCACTTGTAGATTGATAACTGGAATAGTAATTACAGTAAATCAACATGAAACTATGATCTGTAGGGTAGGGGATAATTTGAACTTTTCATCCTCACCAAGACAATTTTTTTTTTATCAGAGCATGACTTTCATAGTTAATCATGAAATTCTGAAAACACTGGATTTTTTTTATATTTCCTAAACAAATCGTACTCTAAAAATCCCAATGTTACAATAGTACTAAGTTTGAAAATAATGAACACACATTCTCCCTACTTTGTTGTAAATTGATTTTTATTGGTATTTCTATGTAGTTAGGGATGTATTTTTGTAACATGTTTTTGGTATATATTTCTATGTAGTACTTTTATGCTGTACTTTTAAATGTATGTATTTCTATGTAGTTTGTACCTAAAAAAATATTTGCACTTACTTATACAGTATTATTAATTTTTAATGCTAAGTATTTATTTAATCCCTAAAATTAGTTTTAGCTTTACATAGAATATTTAAAACGATTGAAACTTTCTTTTAAATGAAATTTTCCATTTTTGTTATATTTCATTTATTTGAAATTCCTTCATTTCTCTAATAAGATTATTATTAAAATACTAAAAGCTTTGAATTTTTTTTTTTTTGCTTAAGAATTTAAAATTTAAGGAAAAGATAATCTCTTATCCAGTAGAAAACGAAACTCAGAAAGCATTAACATTTCCTTCAATTAATAAACTCATTGCAATCGTTTATTTCTTTCTGTTTAGTTTGTTACATATAGTATTTTTTTCACATTCCATTTTTTTTTTTAAATATATAGCCTTACTTTTACAAATTACATTTTACAATTTACAATGGTCAAGTTTAGAAGTCCTCCTACCAAATCATATAATTCTTATTGACGTCCTTTTTGGAAAAATATTGCTGAAAATAAATTCTATAATGAAACAGTAGAAATCTCAACTTTGAAAAAACAACAGATTCAGGTAAAATGGGAAAAAATTACTTACTATTGTTGATTTCTTGTACAAAATTTTTTTTTGTTTTTAATTCTTATGTGTTTTAAAGTTTAAAAAGAAGTAACTTTTTTTTTTTTTTTTTTTTTTTTTTTTTCTCTCTCTCTCATTCAAATATTCAAGTGGATGAACACCAAACTGTTGATGCTTAAGTTTACCATATACATTGTATGCCAAAAGTTTGGTGCCAACCTCTGTACTTCAAAGAATTACTTAAAAATTGAAGGTTGCATGCTTTTTCAAATCTAATTTGCTAGCTGACTTCAGGCCAGAGGGACTTCCTCTTCATTTTATTATATATTCAGTAAAAATAATAACAGAATTAAGTCATTACTGCATAAAGTTTCCTTAAAATATTAGTTCTTTTTGCCTAATTTACTTTACTGGTTAATGGCAATCTTAGACAAGAAGATTTTAAATTTTAGGTAACCCCTTTCCCAAAAATTAGACACCATGCACCAATGGGTTAGTTTCAGCATCCTAGCTTAGTTTCAGCATCCTAGCTTAATAGGATTTAATTCAACCACTGAAGGTATGAAACTTTCTTATTAAAACTAGTAGAGGCTTGTTTAATATTAGATAATACTTACAGAAAATTTTTATAGAGAAGGAGATTAATTTAGCACAGATGATGAATTTTTTTAGAAAAAGTAAGGAAAAATATAATCCATATATGTATGAAAATTGGAATCAAATAAAGACCAAATAAATTAGAATTCAACAGAAAGATGGATAAGGAAAAAATAGAAAATGTTTAAAATGTTTCACTTTTAATTAAACTTCATCAGAAAATGAAATATGAAGGCGAAAAGAAAATTCTGGTATTTTTTCTTTTTGTGTTGTTTGTTATTTCATTAGTTAGGCAGCTCTCACTTGTATCTGTCCTGTCAAGCAGCGTTCATGTATATAATTCATGTGTGTATGTGTATCATAATTCTAGTTTGTCTATGCAAGATTTGGATAATAATGTGTATTTGTTTGTGTGCATTTGCGGATATAGTAAGCATTTTTATCTATGTTTGGTGGTTGTCTGTATTTTGATTTGGGGAAGTTTTGTCTGAGAGCGAAATAATTTAAATTACACCTGTTGTGATTGTAGGTAGACAAATTCTTTCACACTCACAAAACATCCCTAAATAAACATATGGACAACCACCGAACACAGATGAAAAATGTCTACTAGACACTCAAACATACACACATTATCATCTGAATCCAGCATACATAAAGTAGAATTATACACACAAACACTGCTTGACAGGACAAATACACATGAGATCTGCTTAATCAAGCAAAAACAAACAGCACAAATATAAAACTACCAGAATTTTCTTTTCTCCTCCATATTCCATTTTCTGATATAGCTTAAATAAAAGTGAAACTTGCTAAATTTATAGACATTTCATATTTGTTACTTATCCTATCTGATAGGATACAGCAGAAATATGTCCCACATAATGGTTAGAGAGTAAGAGGTATTTCTGGGTGGTATTTCTACCACACACACACACACACACACACAAACATACTGTGGTTTATAGTTGGTAACTAAACCTGCCTTCCTACCAGACAAGGATGAGTAGAACCTCAGCAACACAAAAAAATCAAGAGCTTTTAAAGGACGAATGGGCTCGGAGACAATGGCCATCAACCCTAACTATACATGAAATAGCTTCGTCAACCTGTATTTGGACAAGCGTGGTGAGTACGGACACACTCCTGAAGACATGGTCTATTAAGGAGAGAGTTCCTCCAACAGGAGTGAGTAGGCCCTGGATTTGTGTTTTATATATGTCGATAGATATGGATAAAGAGGCATATTAATCTATAAATTACATTCGTATGTGACTAAAATTTAATAAACTTGGCCAGAAACTGATATTATATACAGTAAGAAATATTTTTTATGCATAACATTTCATATGATTCGTTCTCCAGGCTTTGAGTAATCCAATAAGCAAATCTTCAGACAGGCCCTGGTTTTTATTTACATAAAGAATAATCCATTCTCAGGCATATATACATGGATCTTTGAAAACAAAATCCTGCAGAACAGCATAATATCTTGTTGGGTTTAAAGGTGGGTGTGTCAAGAGGCCAGTACAAGTTTGTATATAAATTTTGACAAAGTATTTCTTTTAGCAAAATTCATGTAAAACTTTCAGTAAGAAGCATCATCAACCCAGCATATACAAACATATGTTCTTATCTACATTATGTTGTATTTCACAGGTTCTCTGTCATAAAATAACAAGATTTTTGTTCAGAGATCCCTTGTGATGACAAAAGGCTATCTTGTTCAATGAAAATTCTTCAACATGAAAAACACTTGCTCCATCTAAGATGTATACACTTACATGACTCACATATTAATATTATTATCATTTTCAAGCCATCTATATCCTCTGTGATATCACAGGTCTTCTATGAGGGAAAGTCAAAAATTATCACCACTCTTGTCTAAATATATGTTATGGCAGGTAAGTAAATGCAGATATTTTTTGACTTAGCCTTGTATATGCTATGCCCTTTCAGGACTTGGGCAATCATTGTTCGCCACAACTTCCTATCCTTTGTAGCTTTTAGTAATTTGTCTTTTCATCATCACTCCCAGTACATACTCTCCTATCCATTTACACAAGTTCATTAGGTAGGTTTCTCACTTTTTTTTTTTTTTTTTTTTTTGTCCTTTTTGCATTCACTATGTCCTGTAAGTGCCCAATTTGTAATTTTCCTCATTATGGGTCCTAAAAAAAATGTTTATCTCTTTCTGATTTTATGTATAATAAGTATCCTTTTTGTTTCCATTATCTTTAAAACTTCCTTGTTACTCACATCTTCAGTCCATGGTATTCTCAGTATCCTTCTGTAGAACCACATTTCTGTTGACACATGTTGACATAAATAACAAGGATTTGTATTTTCTTTTTGTAATGTGAATTACAGAATATTGGTATGATGTGTAAAAATGTTCTCATTGTGTCTTTTATTTAAAAGTCAGTGCTTATTTGGTTTGGTTCCAAGAATTTCATTTGTGAGGATGGCGTTTGAAATCATCATGGAGTGCTGGCCAAGATGTGTGTTTCTACTGGCTCCTACTATGGGTACCCTAGTCTACACTAATTTACTCTACTTTACTGACCCTCTTGTGGTGGAAGGGTTGTTTTTATAATGATGAGGATAGGATGATAAAATATCCTTCTTTTCTATCATCACTGATACCAAGGTTATTTTTAGAATGATGAAATATCATCATCATCATCATTCTAGACCATAACAGATTAAGTACCTTGACATGGTGCAATGGTTTGCATGCTTCTATGACCCAGAGAACTATACTGGCCAGGAGGTCAATCCTAGCCAGACAGGTCAATGAGTGTAAACAGGAATAAAAAATGTTGTTAGATTTTTAAACTTTTTAAGTTAAAAATGCTAAAAAATATTCTTAAGGCTGTGTAAGAAGTATATATTTCTAAAGACGAATAAAAAATATTATTAGATTTTCAAAATTTTAAAATTTAAAAATACTAAAAAATATCCTTAAGGCTGTGTAAGTAAAGGTAAACTATGATGTGATGTAATTTACTGGTTAATAAACGAAAGTGAGTAAATGTTGTTAATGTTGAGTTTTTTTATTTGTTTATATATATTTATTTACATATTTTCTTTTATATTAATGCAATTATTATTCTAATTTGATAAATTATTTATGTATTATATTTTAGAATAATAGAAAATTTTAATTTGACCATTTTCTTTACATTTTAAAATTCATATATATATATATTTATTTAAATAGGTTAAACGGTACAAAAAAGTATTAAGGCATTAAAAACTAGAAATGTTGTATTGCAGGCCATGATAAGTTTAAATAAAAACACACACAGTCGCCGGGTCCCCTCTCAGAACTGTTAAGGGAATTTAGATTATGAGGAAAAAAAAGAAAAAAGTCTGTCATGGGTGACATGAATGAATGGACAGGAATAACTCTGTTATTTACTATTTCAAATGTAGTTGTGGATGCGACTACATAAACGAAACACAGCGGTTGAGTAAATTAAACATGTTGTTAATAATTAAACAAAAAATTTTTCTTTGGGCGATACCATTTGTGGGTCTTCCATTGCGGATCATTTTTAAAGAATCCAACTTGTATGGATAGTTGAACTGGTTTTATCTTGGCAATTATTCCGCTTGGCCAGTTTGACTCAAATTCCATCTTAGGTGTTGATCGCTTTACATCAGGTCCAAGCAGCCTTCTCTTTGCAAACAAAGATTGTTTTTAGTTCTGCGCTTCTATAGTTGGTATAATTTTTTATCTTTCCTTCCTTCCCTGTCCATTCATTCATGTCACCCATGACAGACTTTTTTCTTTTTCCTCATAATCTAAATTCCCCGTTAACAAATTCGACTGTGTGTGTTTTATTTTAAACTTATCATGGCCTGCAATACAACATTTTCTAGTTTTAATGCCTTAATATATATATATATATATATATATATATATATATATATATATAAAAATGGGGCGTGGCTAGAACATTCACATTCTGACCATGAGACTCGAGTTCGAATCTCACCCTGGTTAATTTGACAGGAAGGAAGCTTCTTGATGTCATCAGACTGGAGAGGTCGATCCCAGCGTGTGACACCTTTGGAAAGTGCCTGAAAACCATAGCACGGGTTGACCCAGGCCTTGTGAGGGAAATTGGGTAGATGGAACCCTTGGGCCCATCAACAGCTGTGCTAGCACAAAGTCACAAGTCATCGTGGCTGAGGGATTGAGCATACTGGCCTTGTTCAAATTGTTGATCATGCTCTTTCCCAGAAACTGTAATTAAGCTCAGCATAGTTGCAGTATAAACCACATGTAGGCTCTGTGGGTGTTGAATAAACAGAAATGTGCCTGAGTAAGTGTCTGCAACAGGGATTGGCTAGCTGCCCTAGTAGACAGGTATCCTTGAATACTAGTGACCAGCTATACTACTATATATATATATATATATATATATATACACACACACACTGTTACGTTTGTGTATTGGAAGTATACTCTTGTAGGGAACTTGCCTTTATGAATGGACACACGATTAAACGTCAGTATGTGCACATCACTAATGTCAAAATAATGCAAATGAAAAAAACGAACATTTATATACAAAAAAATTTGAAAATTAGATATGAACCATGAAACTACATAGTCGGGGGAATAATAATAATTCAATTACAGGTATATTAATTTACAGTAAGTAAATTTTTTTTTTAAATTATAAAATTTTGTTTGAGGAACCTGGTTTTCTAGCATATTGTAGATCTAAGAACCTTAAGGAAATTATAGGTAGTAACCAAATTTCAGATAAGGTAACCCGCAATAGACCAAAAATAAAAACAAGATTTTCCCAACCATGTAACAACAAAAGGAGTTTATGTTGTAATCACATTAGACATACCAATTCGTTCACTACCTCAGTCACTAAATCTACTTTCAAAATCTACCAAAACTCTAACTGTAGAAGTCATAACATAATTTACCTATTAGAATGCACACTATGCCAGAAACAATATGTGGGAAAATCTGAATGGCCCTTTCAGTACAGGATTAATAGTTATCAGAATTGTATCAAGTCAGCTCCCTATGAAAGATTATTATTGCCTGTAGAACAACATTTCTGCCTAGAAAAACATGATATTAAAAGCCATGCCAAATTTACTGTAATTGAAAAAATAGAAATAGACAGAAAAGATAACCTTAGAAAAATATTAGAACATGAAGACAAATGGATTTTGCTCCTCAAAACACTTCATCCAGATGGGCTTATCCACAAATTTAACAACATAGATAGAATTGATATATAACCCCATAAATCAAGCCCTGCCTACATTTCTCACCCACACAAGACAGACATGTTTGCAGAGGTGTCGTGGACTCACATCTATACACACAGTCATCCCAATATATAGACTTACACACATTAAACACACTGCCAAAGAATTAAAAGATAACATACATTTAACACACACATTCCCCTCCCAGCAACCAATAAAACCGCCAAAATGACCAAAAAGGGAATTCTGCGACTTGTGTATCTTAAAAACAACTTGAAAGAAGCCTTTTGACCAACACAAGGACCAACCAAAATCTCTCTATAAAAGGCAGGATGTGTGTGTGTGTAATGAATGCATGGCCGCAATTTTGGATGGATTTGCACCAAAATTTACATGCACATGCTCCAAGTTAGCGGGAAGGCCAAGACCGACTTTGCATTTCCCAATTCCCATCGATAGTGGAAATAATCAATTTTTTCATGCTTCTACAGCAGTTTTCATGTAGTTTGCGGCCATTTTGTACCAGAGTGAGAGCCAATAGCTGGCTGCCATGAATAGGCAGGAAGATTCTATTGCCCAGCGTGAGAGCCAACAGCTGACTGACATGAATGTTAACTAGCATACAAAAAAATCGATAGCTGCATTCGTCACAAGTGGGAAAAATTTAAATCTGCATGGCATTTTACTCCAATTGGCTCATTTGCTTGCTTAAACTCAACATTGATTCTGATTCCGCAGAACTGGTTTGGGTGTGAAAAAGTATTTGTTGTTAACATTCTTTTTTGATTCGGTTTTTCCAGTTACGAGTCCTTTTTTAAAGCTGATTGTTTTGTGTTCATTTTGTTTAGTTCTTTTTTCATAAAAGATTTAATGTTTAGTATAGAGCTTAGAAAAAATTCGCAGTGTGAGATAGGCAAGAAGTAAGGCATGTAGCAACATAAGCACAGCAAAGGGCACTCCTTTAAAGGCAAGGAAGGGCAAAAATATTTTAAGTCAAGTGATAGCGATTGCTTTATGAGTCGTATGATTTTTGAATCAAGCATGGGCAACACCAGGCCATGCTGTTAGTGATAAAAAACAAATGAAAACTACAGATAAAGTTCATTTTCTTCATAAACAGTCATTCACTCCTGTAGTTCACTCCTACTAACAAGCAATTTTTTTTTTCTCTTGATAATGGCCATGCTGGCCAAAATTAGTTGAGGAAGCTAATTGAATAAAACAAAAAATATTAATATACAATCCAGTATGCCTGAAAATTTTAATTTATTGACATTCTTTATTGTTCAAAAAAAAAAAATATATATATATAAATTAAGTCTGACAATTATTCTGGCTGGTAAATGTAATTAATACTGTTTAATTAAAAACAGAGTATTTACTTAAATAAATTGCATCTATAAAAAATAACGTATAAAAAGAAAATATATGATAGACATTTTTGTGTGTAACATTTTACATATGCTCTAATTCTAGACATTGCTCCAAAAAACACTTTGATGCTAAGAGTTCATAGTATATACATAACTTTTAATGATGTAATAATATTGATTTTTCTACATAAACAATTATGAATTTATGACAAAATTATTATGTATATACACATGCATTATATGTCTATATGGGTTTTGTTTTTGGAAAGCTATAATGTCTAGTTATCTCTTGATAAAAATACACCCATAAACACTTTAATGCAACTTATCTCTCATGTTTGTATGTATACAATAATACAGAAATACAATTTTGCCATTCTACCACACCCTGTTTTTTACCCTGAAGTATAAGAAATTGATCATGAGAAAAAAATTGACTTACTCTAATGGCTAGTTTTCACTCTCATGTTTGAAATAATTCCCTTGAACATATAAACATCAATTTTAAAGAGTAGATAAAAGCACTTTATACATCAATTATGTGTCTTTTTTTATATATAATAATATTTTAATGATATGCATCTTACTAATTAACCCATAGCTGGAGAGGGAGAAGAGCTAGATTGATACATTTCCCAAGGATATTTGCGTATAAGTGAATATAATGAACCTAACTGGAATTTGAACACAGATCTCTGATTAATAATTCTGAGCCATTATCCATGACACCACCCGCACATCCAAACTTACAGCACTTGATGTTCCCAAGTGGTCACACATCTAGGTACTAGCCAAGGCTCAACGCTGCTTAACTTAGGTGATCATACGTGAACTGGTGTTTCAAAGTGATATGGCCATAAGCTTTGTATGTTTCTCTCCTGTTACAGAGATCAGTGTTTGAGTCTAGGTACAAAAATCTTGAATGAGGATTTTCTAGGCAGGCTGGTAATTCCTCCCCCATTTTTTTTAAAGATTGGTACAACACATTCATCCTAACCAGTCATCCTACCCACACCCTTATTTAACATTTTGATGCTTTTTTTTGATGATGATGATGAGTTGAGACTTTTTTTTTTTGTATTTTTTAATCTGTACGAGAATTTGAAGGGTTGTAGGAACACAGCAACACTAAAGGGCAAAGTGTCTGTTTCTCTTTTTGTTTTTATTTATACTTGATTTTTAATCATTTATAAATTAAAAAAATATGTCAGAAAAAATAATCTTATTATATAGTTAGAAAGACATCTGAATATAAAAGTTATACAATGTGGGTTAAATTTTTCTTAACACTCAGGAAAAAAAAATGAAAAATGCTAATGATTTAAAAGACTCAGAAACTATTTCATATCTTGATATTTCTAATTTTCTAAAATTCTGAGTATGAGACATGTCATGACATGATAGTTCATTTACTATTTTTGTTTACCTGTCCTTGAACCCAAATAAAATATGTCATGTTACTAAGTTGAAGGCTTTACATAGTTTGGTCCATTTTGGAGCTTATTCTAATTGTCAAATTAATCAGATTAAAATGTAGTTACCTCCCTTCTTTTTTTTTTTTTTTTTTTTTTTAAACAAACGGTGCCATATTTATTAATGTTTTTTTTTTATCTATTTAACAACTCCAAAGTTAAAACCTCATTTACTTCACATTTGTCTATCATTCTCTCTTGACAAGGTTACTTAGCATTACCTAGTTTAAAATTTTCTCTCAGGATTATTGTTAACCTTTGCTCACTTTAGTTTGATTTACATCAAAATATTTTTAAAAAGTGGAATCTGATTAAGTCTGTTTAAAATTGCAACACAAAATCTCTTTTGCTAAAAGTGTAGAAACTGTTCTTTTCTCTTAGTCAACTAACAAGAAATACATTTTTTGTGTATATATAACAGTTCAAGGTTGTTTTATACACGACAACTTTAACCTTCATATTCAAGCCCTTAAAAATATAAACAGAAAAAAAGAACTTATTTAATATAATTGTTTATGATATGTTAGGATGCCTTATTCTTTGTATAATTTACATGCCAAATTTCATGTAACTGTTTAGTGTTTCTTTTACACAGGACATGTTTATAGAATAAACTTGACTCCATAGTATAAAGTATCTTTTTTTTCTTTGGGTATTTTTTCTACTTCAGTTATGTTTCAATCCTTACAAAAACTTTCATGGATAAGAGATAAAATTGACTGGAATTCAAAATCAGCTTTCTGATTTCTCATTCTGAGCCACTATCCATGACACAACTTGCACGTTCGCACTCTAGTTAGACAGAACTCATTAGCCTTGGTTAGCAGTTTGTCTAGAAGAAAGATCATTCTTATTTCAAAACCAGGGTAGATGCGACTCTAGTTATCTTGATGACAACCCTTCAAGGGGCCAACAGCTTCATCTTTGCAATGAGGTGTGGTTCTATATGCAGCTTATAAGTAATAGTTGGGAGAGAATTCAGGATCCACCAAATCCTGGACATAACCAATCATATGAACATTAATCATTGCATTTATCATTATATATGATACACTTTAAGATAAAATGTAGCAAAATATATTATGTCCAATATGTCTAGATATTATGAATAGGAGAATAGTTATCAAAGACCAGACTGAACAATAAGCCTGTATTTATGGTGGTTTTCTAAGCATAGCTTAGGTGTGGCACAAGGCCAAAAGTATGGGGTACCCAGTGATGATCAAACTCACTATTCAGTCATGATTGTTCTAGCAAGACAAGCATGCTAACCATTACACCACATTGAATACCCAAACATGTATTCATGTCATTGAATAGAAGTAAAAGAAAATTGAGCTTAGAATCACATCCAAACATATTCTCTCTCCTTAGCATTATTATTTCTGTTCTCAAAGTTTGTTTATTTGCTTCTTTATTTTTCAGAACAACTTGGTTCTCATCATTTGTATGGAGAGGTGAAAAAGGTTGACTATTCTGACTGTTCAACGAGTAATGCAGCTGCATGCAACAGAGTACAGTCCCCTTTGCAAATGCCCTATGACAGCCCTGCCTACATAAATAGTCATGAACAAGGTAAGACTTATGCAAGCAAAGGAATAAGCTTCTTAGCTTTTTTCAAAATTCAGCTTCCTATTTTCTAAATTTGATATATTTAGTATTACATTTCTTCATTAAAGCCATGATGAGAACAAAAGTTTATTTCCTCACATTTCTCTCACACATCTAAAATGCATTTAAAATCCTTTTCTTTTTGTCTTGTGTGTAAGTACACATCCACTTGGTGAATTATCAGCTTAGTTTGGTTCTGATAGTTTTTTTTCTGCTTGTTTAGGTTATATTCAGTGATAATTTCTAACTGTCTCACACACTGTAGAATTGTGTGATGAACAAGAGTTAGCTAGATGTGAAAATATCTGCTGGAAAATTTCAAAACAATATTAAAAAGATCATTTGAAGAGATTTCCTCAATCTTGTAAATAAAAAAATATTATTCTAATTTTTGTATACAAGCAAAAGTTGAAGTGACTAAATCGAAATTTTTCAGACCAGAAACTAGACCTGATAATATGGATTTTACTGTAACCAAATGGAGATGGAAAAAAAAAAAGAACAGTAATGAAATACACTATTTACATTATTCAGACTATTGTCCTCATCTTTGTTGTCATGTTTATCACAACATTTCAGCCATTGTACACTCCAGCCTTCTTCAGGTGGTAGGAATGTCGAACTGAATCCTTTATTTTGCTCACTAGGGTAGACTGTTCTAGTTCCATGTGCCATGTCTAATGGATGTCAGTTATCAGTTATCTCCTGTTAATTCACCTCTCCAAGTACCCACATATTTTGTTTTACATTAAATAACTCATATAGATATCAATAAATCATAAAATTTATTCAAACATTCATTTTATAAATTCAGTTGAAGAGTGCATATTGATTTTTCTTTTTATTTGACACCTGAATTTTATGCAGATCCCTATCTGTTCAAAGCCTTTACTCGAGCCTCCAACCTTGAAATTAAAATTATCCAAAGAAAAATCCAGAACTTTTCAAGTGAATATATTCTAAAATTTCCTTTGAACATCCAAAGAATTTGTTGATATTAGAAATTTTTCAAGAATTAATGAATTTTCTTTTCTTTACACTTTCTTATTATAAAAAAACATTTTATTTAATTTTGAAATTTTAAATTTCACCATTCCAACATCTTCAGTGTTTCATTTCAGTGTATAATTGTAATCAGCGGTCACGTTTTTATATTTCCTTTTCCTGTACATATATAATTCCATCATCAAAAAGTATTACTTTGGTCCAATGAAGTTCTTCAAGAGGATGTGACACAGACTTTTTTTCCACTTTGTCATTTATTTGTCTAACATTCTCATCTATGTAACTTTTACACCTTTGTTTCAGTTGGCTAGTTCTCCAACTCTCTTCAGGTCATTGTGGCTGTATTTACTAAATAATTTGATATTTATAATTTTTTTAGGACACTGTAAAAATAAAAAAAAGGAATCCTATTGAAAAATGAGATCTTATTTTCTTGATTATACATTATGATGTGTCTTAAACACATGGCTAGTTTCATCTTCATTATACTTTTAAAAACTTGAATAATTATTCTTGCCCTTGTAAAATTCATAATAACTAAATTATTAAAAGTAAAAATTGTAAAATTCATAATAACTAAATTATTAAAAGAAAAATAACTTCAACAAATATGATTATTGAAGAATAATTGTAAAAGCTTCTTTGATCATTCTGCTCCATCTCTACTTTACAATGTTTGTTGTCAAATTAATATATAACATCAGTTCAAGTGCAGCTCAGTGGTAGATTTTAGGACCAAAAACCATAAATTGTAATGTTCTACTTGAGATATTTCAAAATATTTACCAAAAAATCTAATGATTTCAAACCAAGTAAAGGTTCCTTTTTACTTGTAAACAGTTTGATACATTGTGGCTAAACCAGGGGAAATTCCATAAGATTCAAATATCCAACAGGGATATAGGTAGCCCAATTAATTATCCATTAGGCCAGCATTTTGCTGCTTGCATATACAGTGAAATTAACTGGAAAATATTAAGAGTTTATTTCTGTTTTTTTAAGGTTTGTAATTATTTGAATTAGATATATTTATTTTTTATTAGTTTTTTTTCAAATTGCCATTTATGGTAATTGTACCTTTTCCTCTACCCTGTCCATTTTCATCTCATCTTAATAAATATGTCTGTTTTTATGGCAGTACTTGCATTTTCTAACCCAAGAAGATTTTCAAATCTACTTTATTCGTGGTCATTCAAGAATAACTGGTAATTGTAATTTAGAGTACACAGCTGAATTGAAATGGGATACGAATGGTGGGTGTTCATTAAAGACACTAGGAGAAAAAAAAATACAATATTTATGCTCAGAAAGCGCAATGCAAATGCAAACGAACGTATACCTATGTTTTATAGATTATACCAAAAACATTTGATACAGTACGTCACAAAGAAAAATTGGAACTGCTAGATAACCTTTGTAACTGACTGCCAGTCTCAGTGAAAAAGTTCCAGGCTTCATACTGATGTTATCCTTTTATTTAGAAAATACTCTGTGAAAACTAGAGACAAATAATGAATGTATGTCTCAAAAGGGGAAATGGATAAACAAAATATATTTTAAAGAAATACATAAACAAGGAAAACACTTTTCAAACAGAAACAATAACAATTTGAAACAAATGATAAAGGGACACATAGTGTCTTGGAGATTTCAAACTCAGTAGTAGGAAGCATATTATTACATGTTGTCTCTTTGGGTGGCAATAGCTAAAGAACATGGTAGTTTCCTTACCCCCCTAAGAGTCACATGGCAACAGACTCACAGAAATGACATCTGAACACATATAGAATAAATGTCTTTTTTTTTATATATCATTAAAATGTTTCTCATAATTTTAACCCTGCTATGATACCACTACCAAATAATATGGTCTCTAAGACTGGGAACGTATATACTGATCCTTTCAGTCACCATTACAACCTTGACATTCAGGAAGGATATTAAAATAATCCAGAAAATATACTGGGTGCAAACCACCCACATATAGATAGAAAAGGAATTCTATAAATATACAAAAATAGAAAGGTGTGTAAAACAAATGTGTCTTTTCACTGGACTTATTCAACCTATACAGTGAGGTAATTCTGTGAGAATTAGAAGTCCTACCAAGATTCATTATTAGCAACCACAATGTTAACAACATAAGATATGCAGATGACACAGTGTTGATAGCAGTCATAGAAAGGAAACTACAAGAACTCCTACAGAATGTAGTGAAGGAAAGCGAGAAGGACTAAACATTAATTCTAAAAAGATGGAATGCATAGTTGTTAGCAAACAGTCCAACATGCAAATTACAAATTGAAAATACCAAAATCAAACAAGTACAACAATTTAGCTATCTGAGAAGTGTTTTAACAGATGACAGAAAGTGAGACATTAAAATCTGAAGACGCATTGAGATAGCAAAAGATGCCTGCCAAAAGCTAAGCAAAGTATTAAAAAATAAAATTTTATTAGAAACAAAGAAGAGTACTGAACTATGTAATATCAGTCCTATATGGCAGTGAATGCTGGAAATCTCAGATTAAGAAGAGACTTGAAGCAGCAGAAATATAGTTCTACAGAAGGATGCTGAGAATACCATGAACTGAATACATGAACAACAACAAAGTCTTAGAGAAAATGGAAACAAAAAGGACATTGTACTTAATATCAGAAAGGATTGTTGAAATTCTAGTGCACATAATGAGGAAAGAGGGTTTGGAAAAAATTAACACTCACAGGACATATTGAAAACAAAGGGCAGAAAAAAAAACGGTGCATAACCTACCTAACAAACATATATAAATGGATGGCAGAACAGGGTTAAAGAGAGATAACTGAAAGAAAAAAAATTACTAAGCTACAAAGGACAGGAAATTGTGGAGAGTCATGATACCTGATGTCTTGAAGGGACACAACACAGAAGAAAAAGAAAAAAATTCATATTTCCAATTAACATTCAGCAGATAGTGAAGCAATTGAATGCTGATCCAATTTTTTTTTTGTCTACCTGCATGATCAGAAGTTGGAATCAAGACAATCATTTTTCCCTTATGTTATTATATTTACAAGTGTAATATTTGAATGCAGAAGGAAAGATAGAAACATCATTTCTGCCGTCTCATTCCCACAGCCACAATATTGCAAATTCCTATCACTATTCAATTGCTATTTCCATACCAAATATTCAGATAAGTGCCTTTCTTTAGTTCCACCATTTCAGACCTTCACAATTAGGACATGCCATGTCATTTCCATGAAGTTGAAACACCCACATTTCTTTTGTGTTCCAAACGTAAGAAGACAGCTTTTCCCCAAGAATTGCCACTATGTAGAACAGACTCCCACATATGTGCTTCTCTGAACACTACAGTCTTAACCTGTTCACATCAAGGATCAATCATTATCAATCCTCCTTATCTTTATTTCGTACCATCTTCCTCTTTCACTGCATTCAGTAACACTCTACATTGAGTGGCTTTTGAACTGTGTATTGGGTGAATTTTCATACATAAAACAGACAGGCAGAATAGTATTATAGCTATTTATACCAAATGTGTAATGGAGGTTTACTTTACTCATCTGGTATAAATATAATTTTTCAAGAAAGCCCACTCATCCTCATGAATGTTAATTTGTTAGGTTAAAATTAATAAGAACCTAACAATATAATTAACAATTGACTTCTGGACAACATCTTATTTCTCCTTAGATTCCCTTTATATAACAAATGCTATATTATCTGGTAATTTGAATTTACCTCATAAATTAATCAAAATATAAATTATATCTTTTGGACAGTATTTAATTTGTTTTGTACACTGAGAAGTGGTTAATTTTCTTGCGTGTTTTCTAAACTTAAATATAAAAAGTTTCATGCCTTTTCCTTTCTTTTAACTTTGTTATATTAGAAGTAAGTAACCGTTTATCTCATGAGGTAGCACACTTTTTGGTCAAAATTCAGTCTTTCGTGTGATTATAGTGACCACTCCTTGGCAATGGTATTTAGAGGCAGTGCGCTGTCCAGATCACATGGCCTCTTTTTCTGCCATACTGACAAAATCCAAAGGAATACAGGGTGTCACATTTGAAGTTGACTTTGCTTGACTGGAGAAGTGGCTGGAAGATTGTCAGTGTTGATAGATCACACTGGATTTTTTGTCTAGATTTACTTCCATAGTGTTTTTCATGTTTAGATATGGCTGCCAGGCAGTAGAGGTTTAAAATAGGGGTTTTTCTTCCCCTAGATTACTTTTCTAGGCTGACAAGCTCCATCTATCCAAAGATGGCTATGAGGCACCAGTGGTCTACCTTCACCCCTTCTCTGGCTTGGAGCTGGACTTAGTTGTCAGAGGCTATTTCAGACACATGCCATGGGAGTTTGTCCCCACTACCACCTTCAGCCATGACAATCTTTAAAACCTATATAATGTACATATATAAACATTACATTATTTGTTTTAGATGCTCCCCAGAAAATTAAATTACATTATTTCAATTAATTTTTATACCATCTCGTTAAAGAAAATATGTTCTAACTGCCATGCTGTTTTCTGAATGAGTTCATTTTTTTCCTGTTAAACAAAAAACTTTGAGCCAAATTGTCTTAAAATCTGGCTATTTTATAACATGTAAAATTTTGTTTTTCTTTTTTAGAAGATGTATTCCTGACGCTAGAACAAGCCAAAGAACAGTTCCTTTTGTTACTTCAGCGAATGGATATTGATGCCTTGGTAGCCTTTGATAAATGGCTAAAACTGATGAGAATTAGTCGAAACCCTGTCACTGGTAAGTTTGCTACTGCCTTTATTTTTATTTATTTTTTACACTAACATACATTTTGACACGATTTTTATCATGTCAATTTTTATATTCTCATTACATCATGAAGTGACCTATTTTTATGGGATTTTATTTTTCACTTTTCATCTTTTCAATTGATAAGGTCCCAATCTCAGGACTCATTTCTAAATGAAGAAGAACCTTTAATCTAATTCTTTTCTATTTTAATTATCTAATCTAGTTTTTACATTCTCATAAGATGATTAAACAAGAGTCTTGTTTGCTATAGAATTATTATCTTTGCTCTTATGGAATGAGGTGAAATAAAAAGGTTGAAATTATTCTTGATGCTGCCATTTTATTGGGTTGTAACAAAAGTTTACAGCAGTTTTAAGTGAATTTCAAAGGCAGTATTTAAATATTTGTACTTGGACATATTCAACCACATGTATGCTATTTTGTTCCCCTAGCTTTCATTGTCTTTGAGGCAGCTTCATGATTCCATCCTCTCAGAACTTGGCATCTTTCTGACTTCATGTCTTAAGATGTTTTTACAGGCTTCCAGAGAATTAAAGTTCTTCTCATTAAGAGAAATTTGTTGGGATCGAAATAAGTGGCAATCCAAAGTGACAAAGAGATATGAGATTTGGAATTGTCTTGATGAAACAGAACACCTTCCTAATTGGTCAATTCCAGCTACTTGTCATCAATTGATGTTTTTAATCAGTCTAATTGGGAAGAGTACTTGTCTGGATTCATCATCTGATTCTGTGGAAGGAGCTCATAAAAAAAAAACAATGCCGTTTCAATCCTACCAAATCCACAGCATCACCTTCTTTGGATTTTGGAATAGTTAAATGGCTCATCTTCTTTTCCTCAGGACTTTCTCCAATCCACATTGTTTTAAACAATCCATTTTTATGAGCCTTTGACATTTTTTTAAAAATGTCATTTTAGTTGCATTTGAGCAGAGAATTGCAGATGGAAATGCAGTCCATTAAAATTTGTTGCCATTAAACCATGAGGCACACAAACATTGTACCAATTCACATATACAAGTGTTTTCAAATGTTCATATGAAATACGTGGAGTATCTCTGCAGTTTTGTGACATGTGATCTGGATTATTTTTAATCAGCATTTCAATTTGGTCATCATCAATGACTGCAGGTTAGAATGTTCTTGGTCTTTTGATCAAAATTTCCACTTCTGAACATAGAGAACCACTTATAGAAGGTACTCTCAGCTATGGTACCATCTCTATAAATGGCACATATATTTTTGCTGTTTCAACATTTTTCCTTTCCAGTAATAAAAGAACATCAAATGATGAAAATGCATCTCATTTTCCCCTATTTCCACTTTTAACTTAAAAACTGTTACATTACACAATCCACATAGGAGTTCTATAGAAATATGCATTGAAATGTCACCTTTCAGAATATGTATATGTCATAAATTTCAGTCATGTGTAAATTAAATCATGTTTTCAAATGCCACAGACTTTTGTTCTCACCCAATAGATGCCAATATGTCTAAAAGTAATAGGCAGCTTTCAAGTTACTAGACTGAAAATAAAATTACATTAGAATACTTCCATAACTTTCAAGATGGCAATTTTTTTTTCACTCTGCATTAAACTGACTTTGTGTCACATCCTATCCTTGTTGGGAAGTAATTAGATTTATCTGTTTTTGCAAAAGATAAACCAAATTAGTTTTGCTTTTAAATTTGAAGCCTGCGTGAAAAATGTACTTAAAAATATCTTTTGTGCATGGTAATCAATTCTATAATATTTTGAATTATATCTTTTATCATATAAATTAATATTTCTTGGCATTTTATCATTGAATTTACTAAAAGCAAATTACATTAAATATTCATAGATAAAAATAAACTGCAGGATTTTCAAAACCATCAAGTACATTAGTTCAAGCCAGTTGGAAGATTGTACAATTGCAAACTAAAGCAAAATTATTTTTTGTCAGTATTTCTTAGGCAAGATCTTATTACTATTAGGATGTTTGGAAAGTAATTATGTAGTCACCACTATGAATTATGAGTCAGCTAACCAGGGCAGAACAAAGGTTGAATGGTAGAAAATTGCATTTAGAATTAGTTTATCATCTCTTTTGACGGTGTCAGTTGTAATGCATTTCAGAGTGATTGAGAAAACTTGCAAAAGGAAATTTTATTTCCTCGTGAGCTATCACATGAGTACTGAATGCAACACTCCACCATTTGCAGAAGTCTTTTAACCAAGAACGCCAATCTCTCATTTTTGCATTGCATTGTTATAGGCGATGAAAAATAGATTTTGCATGTCAAGAGAAAATAAAAAAAGATGAGAGTTGTTATCACAAAATGAGAAACCAGAGCCCACAGCAAAACAAGACACTATCTAAAAAAAAGTGGAATATGAAATAAGTCATTCATTACAAGCTACGGAAACATGGAAGGACATCACTGCAGACATTTATTTCCAACATATCAATCAGGCAAATGAAGCATTATGTCAGAAGTGTTCTTCTTTGGTAAACAAAAAAGGTCTCATTCTCTAATATGGCAATACAAGATTACATTGCACAAACAAACCCCCACAAAAAATGGGATCATTATGATTAGAGGTTCTTCTAAATCCTCCATAACCACCAGATTTAGCATCTACAGATTTTCATTTATTTTTATCACTAGAACATTTCATAAGCAACAGAACATTCAGAAAAAATTAAAGTTGAAAATAATCTTTCAAACATCTTTTTTGGACTAAAGATTATTTTTAACATGGAACTGAAAATTTGTCTTCCTGTTCGACTGCAGTCATTGAAAATGATGCTGATATCCTTTCTGGTAAAATGTAACACCCTAATTTTATTCATTGTCCTTTCAGTCCAGTTCCCTTGTCTTTGCTATTTCATAACTTTTCACTTCCTCACAGCTAAAAATATTGCCATAAAGACCAGAAAACTTATCTGAAAGAATCCAGTTTTAAATATAATGATGTTGTTTCCTTAATAATTATTCCTAATTCTCATTGATTTGTATTTCATTTACAGATTTTTTTTTGTCTTGGAAAGAATATTTATTTCCAGATTTAAACAATGTTGGTGAAAGTCAGACTAATTTCTGTCAAATATTAAAAACAATTTCATTTCCATTTCACAAAAATTTTTTATAAAAACATTACATCTGATTTATAGCTTGTTGCCATAAAAAAAAAAATTCCTGATCATGGATATTTTCAATAAACTTATTTTATTTGTAATAATTTTAACTTTTCAGTCGTTTAACATATTCACTGCTATGTTGGATATTTACCAACATACAGCATGATGCATTAAGCCCTTTCTCTGTTCAGTGCAAGAAGGAAAACTGAGTTTGACATATTGTCATAGCTATTTATGTAGCATTAAATAAAACTATGAAAGGCAATATACACAAAGTATTGGGACTGTTGCTATGGTAACGGAGCTAATGTACACAAAGTGAAGCCGCTTGGCACAAATTGACCTTGAACTCTGTGGTACATACACACTAAGTTATGTTCTCACTTACTTCTGTTGTTTATAGCAGTACTTGGAAGGAAAGTGTGTAGTGTGGTCGTCTTACCCTACCACAAAGGCTACATCAGTATCCATGGCTTGTGTAGCATTCTTTAGCAAAGAACAACATTTCTCAGGTTCAACAATCACTGTATTCCTCAGATCTAGTCTCTTGTGACTTTTCCTCTTAAAAAAAACAAATTCTACATGGAAGGAAACAACATTGAAAGATGTCTAGGATAACCAAGAGAATGTGATGAGGATGAAACAGCTGCTTGCTATTCCAAGAAAAAATGAGTTCTCTGAATGATTCCATCAATGGAAACAATACTTGATGAAGTTTGTGGCTTCAAAAAAGGAACTACTTCAAAGGAGATTAAATGCAGTTTTGATATGTGTTGTAGTTTTCTTTTATATCACCAGTCCCAATATTTTTGATCAGACCACATGCAGCATGTCAGGAGACACACATGAATCATGTGGTAGTGAACATGCTAACAATTAAATTAATATTTAAAATTGCTTCTAATTAATTCTGTTAAATTCTACAGGTCTCCTATGAAGTGAAATAGAAGCATATAATTTAAATATAATTATCAGTCATTTCTATTGATTCTGCTTGTTTTCATGAGTGTGCTGATAGTTTAAAATTATGTACAATTTTACAAGATAGTGTCTAGTTATTGTCTGCTTATTAAATGTTGGTTGTTTATCAAGTCACTTATTTCTTTAACAGGAAAATGCACATTTTTTTTTTTGTGGAATCTTGTTTTGTATGTCTCAACAATTACCCACAATTAAGCTCATTATAATTTTCATATAAGCTTCCCTAGCAAAATTATACCAGTCAACAATTCCTTCTGCACATTTCATCTCAGTAAACTAACCTATCAGTTCCTTTTCCTGAAGCTAATTAGTTCCAATAAGTCATAGAAATCTATATGCAAACCATAGAACCCGTTGGTTAGTATAAAAGATGTTTCTGCCAAAACAGGGAAGCCGGAAATAATTTTAGAAAAGCTATTTCGTAGAATTCCGAAAAAAAGTACCTTGAATCTAAAGATAAACTCCAAAAACCAAAAGGATTTTTGTTTTGCAAATATTAAAAGTTAAAACTTATTTCCACCCCCACCCCAACAGAAAAAGGAGGAGGAAGAAAATAAAGAGAACGAACTCTACGATTATTGATAAGTTTCCCTAGTTAGATATTTTTTCCGTTAAAAGAAAAAATAAGTTTACAAAATGAAATTTTTTAAAAAAATGAATAAGCAGACAATAGCGGCCATCTTGAATCCTGAAGCTTTCCTACTGCCTCCTTGGACAATATAAACAGAATACTCGCCACGTTGTGGGTTAAGACGCCAAATTCGAATAAAATAGTTGGAATTGGAATGAACTTTTTTTTTCTCTTTTTTTTTGTTTTTTTTATGTTCGTAATTATTATTTTTATGAGAATAAAATTTACGAACATAAAAAAACAGGAAAACAATATTAAAGGGAGATTACTCTATCTTCGTGATTTTCGAAATTTAATTTACCGGATTATTTCCCTTTCCATTCTTCACAAGCTATATTTCTCTCTTAAAATATTTTTTCTAATGACTAGTTCCAAATTTCTTTGGAATAAGAATATTTTTTTTAAGAATATATACTTCGTTATATTATGTATGTTTTAGATGATTGGCATTATTAATCTTTTCATCTTATTACACCCTATAACTTACTACAACTTTTTAGTTTAAATACTGTCAGATCACTAAAGTGTGTTGCATGCAACAATTATTCAGAAAATAGAATATTCCGTTTTTTTGTTTTGACTTTTTTTTACAAATAAATTTCATATTTCTTGCTCAAATTTAAAGAAAAAATTGGATAGTTTACTTTTAACTATATCATCATCATCATCAATCCCTTGACTGCTTCAATCATTGGGGAGACCTAAGGGTAGAGGACACAACTTCCTCTAGGATGATCTGGTGGTGGTGGTGGCTCAAAGGAGTTTCTGCATTGTCATGTCCATCCACTCTTTGATGTTGTCTGACCAGCTTTTGTGTTGCCATCTCTGCTTGTGTCTGCCTTCAACAGTGCTTTGCATGGTGATCTTGCTGAGTCTGTTATGCAATATGACGTGGCCATTGGCCAAAGATTGTTGTAGGTTAATTTGTTCATTACCACAACAAATGAAAAAATTAGTAAATGCAAAATGTGCTACAACAAAGTATTAGTGTACTAATACAATTCTTCAAAATTGTGCTCACTAATAAACACATTGTCTTGATAAATAAAAAAAAAACAGCTTTTTTGTTTTTTTCTTACTAGCTATAATAATCTTCAAATTTTGAAAATTTCCCATTTCAAAGAAAATTTGGTTTGTCAGTGAAATACTATTAGATTATTTTTGTATATTGATATACTTTTAAAAGTAAACTGCTCAGTTTTAAAGAATTTTGATCAAGAAATATGAAAGTTACTCACAAAAAACTGAATATATATCATTTTGCTGAATCATCATTGTAGCAGAAAGAAAGAAATATCTTTGAATGAAACTTTAATTCTCATCCCATATCCAAGGAACTCATCTTTTAAGCAGTTTGCTCATGAAAGTTTATAATGAGACAAAGCAGAATTCTATAGAAATACCAACATCTCTTTACCAAAAACCTATAATAGAGTATATTCAATTGACGAGGTTGGGATTAAAAGCTTTTGTAAAATTAATAAAAGACAAGTTAAAAATTAATAATGAAAATATTTCAAAATTCAATTAACGTAAAACAATTGTCATCTTTGTTGTTTTTAATACAATGTTGTGTATGTTGTATGTATTCTTTAGAATTCACTCATTGTTTTCTTTCTTTTCTTTCTCCATGTCAGTGAACAGAATAATCATACTGTTGGACTGTTATGTTTTGCTTCAAAAGATAAAAAGGAAGCAAGACAAAAAAAAATTGCTCAGCAAATTATAAAGATGAGAAATATTATGCATCTGAGGAGGGTTGGAGAATGTATCAGCCTAAATAGTGAATTAATAACAACAAAAATCAAGATAATAGTCCCCAAAATATATGGCTCAGTAAATTAAATCAAATGATCTTTAGAGTATATGCTAAAATAATAAAATTTGAAATAATTTACTAATTTACATTTTTTTAGGTCTACTAAAGTGCCATAACATTAGACACAACTAGCTAATGTGTAGATCCTCACTTTGCCTGAATAATGGAGTCTACAATGTGTTGGATTCATTGTGCTTATGTTTATCAAAGTATGTTCCAGAGCTGTCTATATAGTTTTGTTTTTAGGTGTGTTTACAGGGAATGTAATAAGGCCTGCAATGTGGCCCATATATGCTCCATTGGGTTTGAATCTTGACTACCTGAAATAAATCATTGCCACAGCAAAATATGAAAAGCTGGTTTACAACAAGATCTATGTCACACCTTTCAAAACAAATTCCATTTTCACTAGCAGTCCCTGTGAACTCCACTAGAGCACACCCGACATCATTACAGAGTCAGTACTAGCTTGCACAACATCCTGTTAGCATGCTGAATCAACTGTTTTCACAAAAGAGCTGAAAACAAGATTTGTCTGATGCCAATTTCCCAATGGTAATATACTTTGGCTTGTGTGAAATGCAGTTCAATGATGCCTTGATGTCAGTGATGGTACCCCTGTTGTCTAATAAATATGAAAACCCAGAGAATGCAGAATATATTGTGAGCAGCACTGGCATTGAATTGGGATATGATTTGTTCCAATGTTCCTCTTTGGTGGCAACCATCCTTATTAATTGCTGGTGGTCCCATTTTAGCATCACTTGTGGACATCCGCAATTTTCACCTGCTTCTGATGTCTGAAATGAAATTCACATATTCCTGGTATACCTCTGCTGCCATTTCCCTGAGAAAACCAAAGAATAGTTGTCATTAACAATTATTCCACAATGAAATAGCATTAAATTCTCTTTGTAGAACATGGCTGCCACAGCTACACTGCCTCTTTACCTATGTTCTTCTGTGTCTAATTTTTTGGCACTTCAGCTTATAATTATTGTAGAATTATGTCAGTTTGATTTTGCTCTTTGCTATTGAATATATTCTGACAGAATGGGGAAGGAAAAAAGTAATTTTCTGATTATTTTATATTTTAAAATTAAACTATAAGGGTTTGAAATGATAAATCAGTATTACTGTCTTACATTTTTTTTTTATTCATTTTTGTGTGAAATAGAATCATGATAAAAATAAATAAAAGGATATTAGTATTTATTGTTTTTTAATTAAATAAATTTAAAACCCAAGGTGGTATTAGAAATTAACCAGACTCTATACTCTACAATTGTACTATTCAGCAGAAATGCTCACAATGACTGAGAAATCCGCATTAAATTTGCATGAAGCTCAGTAGTTCTGTTACCGAGACCATCGAAATGCTTTGTCAGGCTCTTGGTAAATATCTTCAGGTCAAACACAGGAATGGCCTGTCAAGTTTCAATTTAAGATGATAGGAATTCAGGGTAACCTATCATAAGCAAAACTGCTAAATAATGTGGAAAAAAATTTGAACTGATCCATGAGGACTGTCACCAAACAAACCATATTCTTTCTTGGAGTTTTTTCTCTGCCTAGTTTGGGAACTTTCTCATACAACCTTGTATATATGATGCAGTCAAAGAAACTTATAGAAAGAGGAAATATTTGTTTTCAATAAACAAACTTGAAAAATGTTAAAACCTTTATTTTTCATTTTAGCTCTTCCTTTAAGTAAGCACCTGTAAAAGAATGTTTTGTTTTTTTTTTGTTTTTTGTTTTTTTTACTATAGTTCTGTGAAAAAAAATTATTTTACTTTATCTTTGGTTAAATATTGTTTATGACAACCATATTTGAACCTGATTCAAAAGTTTCTCATAAAAGTCTTGTTTCTTAAATTTTCCATCTAAATATTAGTTTGAGTCATGAATAATTACTGTTTTTGTTTATCAACTTTATTCTTTCAAAAATAAATTGCAGTTACATTTTATTCAATTATATATTCACTATTATTTGCAACAACTTGTTGGTGCATATCAGGCAGATTTTCGATACGTTTTGAGCAAACTTTGAGGTGAAAAATATTTCAATGAACTCATGAATCTGCTTTTTTTTTTTTTAAAGAATGCTTTCCACATCTAAGCATTTTGCAGTGATCAAAAAGGTAATAATCAGTTGGTGCAAGATCAGGTGAATACGGCAGTTGGTGTAGAACAGACCAACCAAGTTCCAAAATTAGCTCCTGTGTTATTCTTGCTGTATTCTGCCTTGCACTGTCATGGAGGAAAACAAAATTTTTCCTATTGATAAACACAGGGCATTTTTTGACTAAACCTTTATGAACATGTTGCAGCTGCTGGATGTATAAATATGCATTTAGTGTTTCATTGCACTTTATGAACTTCATAGAGCCTTTGTGATCAGTGGTGATGATTTATCCTTGTCTGTCCACCGCCTTTTGCATTGACCATTGTTGTATGCAACCCATTTTTTATTATCTGTTATAAGATATTTGTCATTACATTTGGTTCCCAGAAATGGAAATTACTTATGACTCAATCTAATAGAAACATCAAATATTCAGTATTCTTATTTTTGTTTGTTTTTTTAAATAAATTGTAAGTAGTAAGCTGTGCACCATTGGTATGTAGATTATTATATACTTTGTTCTTTAATGACCTATTGAGATTTACTATGATAAAATTATAACTATGTCTGCTTGGCAGGAAAAGTGATTTGCCGTGAGAATACTGTTCACAGTGCTGGGAATTCACAGACTCCGACTGGACACAGTGACGAGGGTGAAGACTACAAAGACTTGTCTGGCCCTACCATAAGTGGAGTGTATGGCTCTTTCCCCAACACAAACATTACTGTGAACATTACACTAAGCCCCCAAGCCTTAATGGGGCAGGGTCCAATCACAGTTACAGCCAGTACTGCTGGTGCCAACAGTGGAGGTGGAACAGGAGCAAGTGGGAGTGGCCTGAATGCTTCACTAACAAATGGTCTCAGATCTTCTACTCAATCTTCAGCTAACACTGCAACCATTGACCTAAGCCAGGCTATCCCTTCAACCTCACGTGGAGTTACTGGGAGCAGCACCAGTGCAGAGGAACGCATCCATGCTATGGCTGTGGGCAGTTTCACACATTCCAAATCTCATTCTAACCGAGCCTTAAAGTCCAGTTCCAGTAGCCATCGATCTGGTGGGGCTAGACTTGACCATAGTGGCCAACCTGCCTTTCCCATTCATCTCATTCCCAACAACGCCAGCTATGAAGCCAGTGTAAGTAAAAAGAGCCGACTAGATGTTGGCCCCATTTCAACATCAGCTGCATCGCCCACGATCAACTCATCAAGCTCTTTGTCCATAATAGACCAGATGGATCGGGCACGTTTGAAGCGAATACTTTCAAAGCCAAGCAGCAGCATTTCACGAGGCTTATATCACGGGATTTCAGGAACATCATCCTCTTCTGCTCTTCGACACAGTGCCAGTGCTAGTCAGGCACGACAGACATCGGCTACTGCAACTTCCACTTCTGCTACCACAACTAGTGCAGCACACAGCCGATATGTAGCCCTCGGCTCCAAGGATGGCAACTCCTCTGACAACTCTGTCATTTTCATCAAGCAAGACCCTGACTGACCAACTGCTGATGGTAAAAAGTAAGCCATGGCTGCCATGAAATATTGATATTTTTTTTTTTTTTATATATATTACTAACTAGTCATCTAAAAAGTGTTGGAGTTTGTCTCTCCATCTTTAAAATGCTTCACTTTTCCCATTCTGGTCAATCCATGGTGTTGTCTGATATTAAACACTGAAAAAATATATACAGCAATGGAAAGCCAAAAAAAAATTTTTTCTTAAAGAAAAAAAGTGTAAAAATAACAAAATTTATCCCAAAGAAAAAAAAGAAAGAAAGGATCACAAAATTTTATGCCTTTTAATGATACATTGTTATTTTTAATTTCTTGTTATCATTTTAACGTCTTCCTTATGTTTTTTTTTTTGTTTTTTTTTATGTTAAGTGGTTGAAAATCAGGTTCAACAAGCCAGATTGAATAATTTCTTTTTATGTGTAAATGTTCTTTTATTTTATTTTAATTCTTTTAACTAAATTTTAAATTATCATTCCAAGACACTACAAAGCCCCTAAACCCAAATGTCTCTTTGTCCGACTGCCAAAAGTCTCTTTTGTTTATTTTCTTTATATTAGTGGGGCCCACCATTTTCTTTCACTGTTGTTCCATCACTCACATGTCTAATTCTTTTGTCATGCATACACGATTCTTTGTAAAGACAGTTTTTATGTGTATAGTCAACAGCACTCACATACACACAAAACATTACAAACTCAACGTATGAGCCAAAAAATTCAGATAACCTCAGGTGTGAAATGTCTTCTGCAAAGAAAGATAAACTTAATAGAAAATTAAATGGAGTGATTTCAAGAGATGTATGTAATGTCCAGTGAGACATAGGGAACTCTGGGTTAATTAACAAATTAATCACTCAGTTTAAATGTCCTGAATTTCTGGATAACATTAGCTACCTTTTTATATATATATATATATATATATATATATATTGTTAGTAGTTATATATATATAAAGGTAGTTAATGTTTATTTTTAATCTAGCATTATTTCTTATTACTATAAACATATTTAGTGGATACAGATATTTCAGTCAACATTCCTATTTTTAAGCATTAAGATTAATGTCTGCTGAGATTGAAAGTTTTTATAAAGAAGCAGTTTCACAAATTTAAAAAAAAAACAAAAAAGGCATGAACATTCAGTTTCTGTCAAGAGTCACATTTTCTCAACTAAGACTTTTGGTCTCTAAGCCAGTCGATGTTAATTTCACTTTTTTTTTTAAGAAACTGATGTCTACTCAAACACATGTACCCACTAAATATAACCTTTATAGTTATTTAAAGCTATTAGTTAATGGTGACATTATTAAAACATAAAATTTTCAGAACCACCAATCAAGCTACCAATATGGAACTGGGGGTGTATGAAGTGGTATTCAGTTATGGGGGAGATGTATCAAGATCTGATCAGCCCTGATTGGAGCAACCAGGGAAATTGGTCTGATGTTGAAAGACCCATAAACCCCAATGATCCTAGTTATAAAGCATCACTGACAACACTTCTCAACATATTGGAAAAGCCTATTTTAAGAACTAATACACACGCACACACATATTTTAAGAACTTTCATATATATATATAGAGAGAGAGAGAGAGCGACAGACAGACACACACACATTTTTTTTTAAGAACTAATACATATAGATACACACACATACACAATATATGTGCATACAGATCCATAGTTATGACATTCACCACAATGGTTATTTTAATTTTTCTGTCAGTTTTCTTTGTATGTCTGTTTTTTCACTTTTGGAATTATAATACTATAATGTATTATTATTATACTAATATGTACCAAATGATAATTATATATCTATGATTGAAAGATATAATTATATATATATATATATACATAATTCAGTGGATGTGTATATATAATTTTATTAATCTTATATATACTCATACACACATGCACATACTTTCTTTTTGGGAACATACGGACATTTTTTGTCTCTTGTAACTGAAAGGTTTGTTTCTGTCTTTTTAGAAATTAACTTGTTTTTTCTGCATCAAGCTAAAATGAATCCAATTTTAATTAATGATTTCCCACCCACTCACCCCCATTTGCAAACAGGTTGTGCTCAGATTATTTCAGTATTGCTTACAAAATGTCACTTTTGGTTAGGGTTTTTTTTTTTTGTTTTTTTTTAATCTTCTTATTGAAGTGCATCAGCAGCAAGCATTTCACCAGATTGAATTGCTTTCTGTTGAAGATTTGGTACCAGACCAATGTTTAAATCTACAAAAACAAAAGTGAGAGGTAAAGAACACACACACACACACACACTCATATATACATACATGCAAAAATACATTTATTTATAAACTTCTGTTTTGTATGTTTTGAGCCTTGCTTTGCTGTGGGGTCTAAAGCACACCTGACTTGAAGGAGGTTTTCCCAATATAAATGGGATTCAAGTTCTAATCCTGCCGAAAGGTAATTTCTTTATTAAAACACTCAAATACCTAGACTGGTAGATATCAATTACACTTTCTTTTCTTTTTTTTAAATGTATCTACTCTAGCACATGTACCCACTAAATGTAACATTTATATGTATGCGTGTGTGTATGTGTGTATATATATATATATATATATATATATATATATATATATATATATATATAGTGTATGCTTTTTTGTGTGTATGCATGTGTACATGCATGCTTATTTTGTGTGTGTGCATATATACATGCAATATGAATTTAATTACAGCTCCACTAATCTTTATGCACTTAGACTCACACTTATGCCTTAATTTATATACATACTCACACATACATGCACACATGTACACACAACTTGCACCAGAAACTCTTACACACACACACACAGCTAACCACCTATGCACATACATAGAGAATATAAAAAAATGTCTCGTTTTTTTTTTTTTATCTGACCTTAATTTTGTAACTTTTTTTTTGCTTTTTAAAGAAAAAAATGGTGATATAATGCTTTTTATATCTAATTGGTATTGTATTTACTCTGTATTATAAAAACCATCCCATTAAAATAAAAAAAAACATATAGCAGTTATCCACAACTGTAGATGAAGGACAATGTATATCAAAATATACAAATGTTTATCTAAATTCAGATTTACACTTGTATATAATGACATTTACTTATATACAGTTCTGTAGAGGGGTCATATATGTATATAAATAATTTAAGAAGAAAAAATAAATAGGTTGCTTTTCAGCATGTCATGAATGTATCTTGCATATCATGGCATCTTGGTATCCATTTAAACTGATGCCTCCTCTTTTTTTCTATATATCTAAATTATAGGAATAGCTATAATTTTAGAAAGTGGAAATTTCACTGAAACATATTAGAAAATTTCAAAGTTTTCGTCTGAAACCAAGAAAATGCAAACTTTAAGCAAATTGATTACAATATATAGGAAAATGAAAGGACGTTATGGCATAATGTAAAAATAGTATTCCTACAGCATAAACCAAAATGTGTCTGTCCAGAGTGCCTTTTCCTGCATTCATTAAGCTTCCACATGATTAATTTACTCTAAAATATTTCCAACATATAATCAGTCACAAATTAAAGCACATACATTATATACATTTTCATTTTATATATATATATATATATATATATATATATATATATACACACACACACACTTATGTATATTTTTAAGTAATTTATGGGTTTTAATCCAACTTTATTTTATATTCCTATAAACATTACATTTAGTGGGTAGAGGTGTTTGTGTACCCACCCATTTTTTGTTATTTTTTTAAACTGTAAAATTAATATCTACTGGCCTAGAGATTGAAATCCTTGTTAAAGAAACTGAACCTGTATCTCTTTATAACTTGGGGGAAAATTATTTTTACTTTTCTGGTACAAAAATAAAGTTAGCAGATATAGATTTTGAAATGTCCAAACAAGTTATATACATTTCTTAAATAGGGTAGTTTAGTCTTGCTTTACTATAACGGCTTACTGTAGCTGAATGGTAAAGTGCACCTAGCTCAAAGGTAGTTTCTCGGATTAAAAAAGAATAGAGATTTTGTTCCTGTCAGGAGACACATTTTCTTTAATAAGACTTTTGATTTATAAGCCAGTAGATATTAAATTTTGCTGTTTAAAAAAAGGAGGGATGTCCACTCAAACATGTGTACTCACAAAATATAATATTTACAGTTATAAAAATTAGTTATGCTTGCACTTACTAAATGCTTGTGTAACTTAAAATGAACAAAAGTAATCTCAAAAAATATTCCTGCTAGTAAGACGTCATTAAATATTTTAAATATAAGCCAAAATAATATAGTTCACTAATTTTTTTTTTCATTTTGACTAGTCAGGTTTTCATTGTTTATATGTTTTTGTATATAAACATATATATATATATATATTGATTGACAAACAGATAGATATATATATATATATATATATATATATATATATATGATAAAGCATAAATAGGAAACATTTATCAATTTAACAGGTTTGACTTTTATTAAAGCTTCATCAGAGAATGAAATATGAAGAAAAAGAAGAAAGAAATTCTGGTATTTTTACTTTTAATTCTGAATGCCACAAATTATACTAACATTGGTTTAAAGTGTTGAATGCATGGGAAATTTTATTGACCAATGAAAATCAAACAACACAAAACTAGCAATACCAGAATTTCTTTCTTTTTCTCTATATCTTATTCTTTTGAAGCTTTAATAAAGGTGAAATATGTTAGATTGATAAACATTTCCTATTTGTTGTTTGTCTTATCATTGTCAGATTCGATCCATATTTGATTCCAACTCACACACACACACACACACACACACACACACATATATATATATATATATATATATATATATATATATATATATATATATATATATATATATATTAGCCCAAAAGTTATTTTGCTGTAATACAATAAAATAAAAAAAGTCGAAAAAATAATAAAATTAATAATAAAAAATCCATGAATTTAGAAAATTAA